CGGTCTAATTGAAGTCAGTGGTTCAGCAAACCTTCCCCACCCACCCACCCCCCCTGGTATGTGGAAAGTTCCCTATTATACCGCCTGGTCTATCAGCGGGAGGGGGGCTGGCAGTCGTGCAGGTAGGTCGGGGGGTGGATTTTTACAAACCTCCATCCTGTGTTCTGGGCATTTAATAGATTCCTGAAAGATGGTGAGTGTGACAAGAGCACCAGCGTTCATTTTAGAATGAACAGGAGAAGGAGGAGAGGACTGTCAGCCCACACAGACAGACACAGACAGACACAAACACAGACACATACACAGACAGACACACAGACAGACACATACACAGACAGACACTGACACAGACAGACACACACAGACACAGACAGGCACTGACACAGACAGACACAAACACAGACAGACACTGACACAGACACAAACACAGACAGACAGACACAGACAGACACACACAGACAGACACAGACAGACACTGACACACACAGACACACACAGACACTGACACAGACAGACACAGACAGACACAAACACAGACAGACACTGACACAGACACACACTGACACAGACACAGACAGACACACACACACACACACAAACACAGCCAGACACAGACAGACACTGACACAGACAGACACAAACACAGACAGACACAGACAGACACACACACACACATTTGTAATTATATCTTTGTGGGGAGTCTTCATTCATTTCTATGGGAAAAACCTTATTTGGTCCCCAAAATGTAATATAAACATAATCCACACACACATAGACAAACACACACACACAGCCTTATCTCCTCACAGGTTTCACTCCGCACCCTGTTTTCCTCTAAAATTGTCTTCCGTCATACAAATGAACAGGAAATCAAGCCTGATCCTGCCTGTGCCCGGACTTTCCTTACATTAATGTATTTTTTAACCGCACTATGTGACTGTATCATTTCTTTTAACAGCAAAATCACTGTTTACTATTCAGATATTTATGGGACTTGCCAATGAGGATTAATGGCTGGACAAGGTCCCTTCCCATGTTCTCACACTTAATATAAATCGATTATACTTCAGCTTCTGTGCACAGGTTGAATTAAACAGACCCTGTTTGATTTATGGTTATAAATGGCTACTGTATCGCATTCTTAAGAGATTTGTTACGAAACAATTAATTAGTCCACAATTTACATCTGTAGAGAATTTTTTGTTTTTAGGTTGGTTCATCTCCTAAATCCAGACCCTGGGTTTGACATAAGTTGCTGTTTCCAAGTTTTTGCCAGAACGCAGATCCGTGAAGCTGAAATGTTAGATAAAGAACTGTTAATTAATCACAAGAATATCCCACAGCATCTCTGAATGCCAAAGTATCATGCGAACCAAGCTTGCGTAGGTCATAGCCCTGTAACACTGCGTAAGTGACATTTCAAAGATGACTAATGCGTGTTCTTCAGTTAAACCATTTGCATATACGTTGGATTTATTTAAGAATTATGTAACATGAAATGATCTTCAGGACAATAAGACAGGGAGAATGCGGCATGGTCTTACTCATCTGGCAGTTCCTTATAAATAAGCAGAGAAGCAAACATCTGATCCATCAAGATTGTGCTAAAGAACTGTGGGAACCATATGGCAGTGACTTACTGAGTGCAGGTGGTCACTGATTTTAATGATTGACAGCAGAGACTGACCAACCAGGTCCTAATCAAGGCAGCTAAAACGGACCCCGCCTCCTCGTTCTCCGTTATCTCCTCCCCCAGCATTTTGTCACTCCCTAATCTGTATGAGACTTTGCAATCAGAGCGTGTTCTGGCTCATGAACATTACTCATTCAGTTAGATATGCAGGAGCCAGACCTGTCAAAACCTTACATGTGAGAAGGAGAGTGAATGTGGTTCTGATATGATTGTGTTTCCCAGCTCTGGCTACTTATCTTATCGAGCCAAAAGGTGAGATTCAGGAGATTTTGGGGCTATTTTGGTCAACTGAAGCCAAACTCGCACAGTCATCCTTCTGCATCTCGAAGAACAAAACTCGGCTTCATTTTGCAACATTTCTAAGCCATAAAAATGCTGCCTCAAGGGCACAGTGTTAGCTCCTGAGACGCCTCTTTGGCAACAGAGCATGTGCAAGCACACCAGCTGTGAACCCATCACAGCTGCCAACCTGCAGGCTAACCTGAGACACTCCAACTGGCATGAACCCCACCCTTCACGCTCATGGGACTTTTACTTACACAAAAATGTTCTGAGGACAGAACGAAAAAAGATTGGTTCAGAGAGATAACCAATCAGATTTTAGTACAGGCAACTAGAGAAGGCGGGACCAAGGCATCTGATTGGTTGGTTCTGCTTCCCGTAGTTGCTTGGACCCACCTCCTCTATAATCTGATTGGTTATCGGAGGTCTGGGAGAAGCAGGAAGATCAGTGGTCAGGAAGAACAGTTTTAATGGTGCAATCAGAATCACTAGGAGAAGTAGCTTAAACAGAAAGCAGACCTCCCTTCATTTTCGTCTGCGTATGAATAAGAATCGGGCTGAGCACTTCCTGCATTTGTATTAAATGGATCAGTGACCACACATTGTAAACATACTTGGATTTTAACACTTTATATTTTTAACCTGAAATTATTTAATTAACCTATTAAACTGAACAGAACATAACGGATGAGAATCCTACTGTTTGAAGAACTGTAATTGAATAATGCATCTCAGGCTTCCACACAACAAAGCACATGAAAAAGACAATTAACACCACACTAACAGATCCTGCTAATTGATAACAAGTTTGCTCATTAATGCTGTAGCTTTTTGCAGAGCCCTGGAGTCACTCTTCAAGCTGCGATTGTTGTTTTCAGTCTGGGGACTGAAGATCGTGTCTCCATGCCTGTGTCACCTTCTCTCTGCTTGGTCCACAGTACGCCGTCTGGCTGGTGATCTGGGTGACCTGGAACGTCTTCATCATCTGCTTCTACCTGGAGGTGGGGGACCTTTCCAAGGTAAGATGCCGGGAGATGCGGGCCGTGTGCCGGCCAGAGCTCCAATCCGCTTTCTCCAGCGTAGCCCCTCCTGTCGTTTACCCCCGGGGCCGGCCTTGTGCACATCGCCAGCTCTACAGGCAAACTCTTAGCACAGTCAGATCCCCCAAATAATTTATGATCCTTCCCTATGTATCCTCATTTACAAATATAATAAATTAGAATAAAAGCATAATTTACGTAGGGCTTGGAAGTAATATGTGGTCACCAAACTGATATATCGCGATCAGGATATACTATTCAAGACATTCCTAGTGGATTGTGACAATCAGACCGGCACATTTCCACCCAGTCCTGTTAGAATAATATAAGAAATGCCCCCCAGTCAGCAAAATATATTGAAGGGCACCCCCCTCCAGCTGGCAAAATCTCTATAGCTCTCTGTAAAAGTAGCTCTCACTGTAAAAAAAAAAAAGGTTGGGGACCGATGGGTTAAACATAATTATATCGCTGCAGGCTTATGAAAATGCTGATGGTTGGCTGAATAATCCGTGGCTCTGCCGGTGTGTTATGCTACATCTCAGAGGGTGGAAACTGATGACACTTAAGCTAATTTACACACTCATTTCCGCAAACATTTGCATCATTCCGAACGTGACCGATGCAGAGATTGATGTGATCTGTAGTTGGGGCTGGAGTCTGCATTATGGGGCGTGATAAGGTGGAAATGTTATGTTTTATCACAAATCTGTAGATAATTATATTTAAGGCACTTTTCATTTAACCAGTAATTTATTTCACAATCCATCTTCACCTCATGTACGCAGAGAAAATGAGATCGGATAATTGAAATGTCAAAATGTCAAATACGATATCTAATTAAAAGTCAAATAAGCCATGCAACATGATTATGAAATTAATCAAGTGCTTTTTCATTTTACCTCTATTTTGAACATAAGTTTTCAACAATATAATTGAAAAAATTGTAGAAATTATGTGCATATAGTAAAACAATTTATTTTTTGGCAAGTCTGAGAGAGCAAAATAATAATAATCATGTTGCTTTTCCCTATCAGACAATTAACACTCTTCTGTTCCATACAGTATGTGTGTGTGTTTGTGTGTGTGTGTGTGTGTGTATATATATATATACACACAGACATACTGCATGTGTGTATATATAGACACGGGATGTATATAAACACACACACATAATTTTTGTTGTTTTTGGAAATCTAGGCACAGACCTGTATACATGTCAGACTCTTTAGTAATTTGCTTTTTTGTGACAGACACTCTTGCCTGGAGCCTGACAGCTTCTGGTAGCTTCCGGTGTTTTTCTGCTTGACGAGCATCTCGCTGGCGTACTCTGCTTAAAAGATCTGTCCGTCTTCGTCATTAGCGGGTGACGCTATACTTTCAAACGTAGAAATTGCCCTTTCCCGCGCTGCCAACTTGAACTAAACCTCAGCTGCCACACGGAATGGGTTGTGAGACGTTGCCTGAATATCAACTTGGTTTTTGGGACCCAAAACCACTGCTGGAATCACTTTGTAAAGAAGAGCTTTTAAAATGAAAAGCATTGACGGCTAAATGTGCTGTATTAGCTGCGTTATCAGGCGTCGTAATTAGTATTATTTTTCTTTGTGTAAGATAGTGTTCAAACATTTGCTCGGGTCTAATCTCGGGGATGACTGCAGCTGTCAAGACCGGGTTCTGGGGTGTACGCGGTGCTGTGCTGGTCAGGACCGGGTTCTGGGGTGTATGCAGTGCAGTGTTGGTCAGTACCGGGTTCTGGGGTGTACACGGTTACAGTGCTGGTCATGACCGGGTTCTGCGGTGTACACGGTACTGTGCTGGTCAGGACCGGGTTCTGCGGTGTACACGGTACAGTGCTGGTCAGGACCGGGTTCTGGGGTGTACACGGTACAGTGCTGGTCAGGACCGGGTTCTGCGGTGTACACGGTACAGTGCTGGTCAGGACCGGGTTCTGGGGTGTACGCGGTACAGTGCTGGTCAGGACCGGGTTCTGGGGTATATGCAGTTCTGTTCCATCAAATCTGCAGCACTCGTTCCCCTCCTCCGTTGAAGCTTGGGGGGGGGGGGCTCTTGGGACCCACACCGGCCTCATTACGGCGGCTTCATCAAGAAAACGAGTCGCGACCGAGAGCCGACCCTCTGCCAGTGCCCCCCCCCCCCCCCCACTGCCGCCTAGCTGCTAGACGAGTTTTCTGCTCCTGGCTCCCAGACCACCCTTGGGATTCATATCTCTGTCAGATGCCAGAGATGGGTCTCCCCACTCCTGCACTGTGGCGGGGGGGGGACCACTCTGGGAGGGATCGGGGGGGGTTGTTGATGCGTACACCTCGACCCACGTCCCCTGACCACGCCCCCATCGCGCGCTATCATTACGCACCAACACTTTAATTAGTTGTACAAGTAATAGCACATTAGATTCTGTGATTTATTTCCTTTTGCATTTCTGGCCCGGTCATGATTTATTTATGCGGTTATAATGTGTTTAACCAGGAGAGAATCCATTGAGACCCAGGAAGCCAGACAAAATTAGATTTAGATCACTAACAGAAACAAATTAAGATAAATAAATGGGACGAATCTTAGTGTCTATTGTTCATTACGTCAAGTAATGGTTTTCTGGTAGTCATGGTGATAAGCACATGAGGCAGAGCTGAAAGCTTGCCCGCCCCCCCCCCCCCCGTCGTTTGACTTGCTATATGGATAAGAGGCAAATATGAAACTTGTGTCGCTTACAGAAACACATTAAGCACTTGGGCAATTTATAAGCTAGCATCACTGGTTACTGTCGTAATGTGAAACGCAGTGCGCTGGTTGGTGTCAGAGAATGTCAGTGTTTTTGAGAGCATTGTTCTCGGGGCTTTGGGGAACACTGTACAGTTATGTGTTGGCTTACTGGCTTGGCATGGTGTCCACTGTAGAGAATGACATTGGTCCAATGGTGTCAGGGTGGCTGATTTATTCTGACATTGTAAACAGGAAGTTAAGGTGGAAACAGGAAGTTAAGGTGGAAACAGGAAGTTTACTGCAGATGGGGGTGAAGGTAAACTGTTGTGGGAAGTTCTTTTGCTCTTTGTCTATGTTAGGAGGTTTTTTTGTCCTCCAAAAACTTAGTTAAGATCTTTTTGCATCAGACTGTTTGGGTTTAGACCATTACCTTTACAGTATGCAGTGCCAATTCTGCAGCATTCTTGTCAAAATAAAACAGCTTGTGCCCAAAAGGGCTGCTTTGTGACTTGCTGTCTCTGACAGACTATCTGGTGTTGTTTTCTCACTTTAATACCGATATAGCAGTGCTGTCATAATGATGCATATATAGTTTGCATTGTTATGTCAAGGTTTGTTAAGCTGGGGAGTGGTCATGTGACAGCCCGGGGAAATCGTCGTGACAACTTCCACGGGAACAGCGATGTGGGAAGGAAAATTAGCTTTTCTATTGGATTTGTATACAAATTATTCACAAATAATTGTCGTCATTAGCCCCACAAACATCTTGGAGAGTTTCTGGGTGTCCACACTGAAAAGGTTTTTTTTTAAAAAATAAATAAAAAATTCTCGCAGGAAATCTGTTTTTTTTTTTCTAAATACAAGAATGAGGTTTCAGAATGACTCATGCTCCTGCTCTCGGATTCCGTCGCTCTGCCAGGAGAGACATTCGGAATTGGATTTGGAACTGGAAGCTATTACTACAGAGCGGGTGGAACAGACGAGAAGTGACAGGCAAAGGCCGAACCGGCCCTGAGCACCGCGGCCCTGCCGGCTGGACCGAGTGAATAACCGAGCGTCACAACTGCAGCCTGGCAGCTTATGAGCAAATAAGACCTGCCCTGTGAAAGGCGGAGCTGGTCTGCAGCACTTCTGAGGCGGCCTGATAGGCTGCGGCCTGCCTTCTGCGCGGCGTATTTCACGGCTAAACTAAAGCCGGCCTGGGCTACCTTCACACACGTGACCTTTATCTAACTCTGATCCATCGCAAGCAGAAATGGACTCAACACAACCTTTGCATTTGAGTGTGTCATTTAAGTCAGTGGTTCTTTTGCACCGCGACCCAATTTTTACCATGCCAGCTCAGTAAGTCTAAATTAACACTATGATCAAACACACGATGCACTCTGCAATTTACGCCAATCAATGCCTATCCCACAAATCTGATTGGATGTGCCAGTGAATTTTAAATTAGGCACCTGTGGTTTGGCTTCTTGGATTGGTTGAGTGTGCGTGCTAAGCATTTGCAGACCCAAGACCCGTTTATACTGGTTAATTCTAGGATTGAGGCTGGGAAATCTGATCGTGGATCAGCATAGGAGCTTCCATGCTTCCATTTCCACCTCTGCCTCACGACCCTTTCAGAGCTTTCAAAGCAAATTTGGGTCGCGACCCATGAATTGAGAATTGCTAATTAAAGTTATTTAAGCATGAAAATTAAGCATTTCAAAATGCATTCGGGACACTATAGCCGTTTTTTAAATGTTCCCTGCATGTTAAGAGGATTTTGTCCTGCTCTAAATATGACTATGTCTAGAGTAGTACTGTATAACACAGGGATTAGGTGTATTTAACGATTCCTCAGCCCTATGCTGTATGCTATATGCCATAATGACCTTTGCATCTTTGAAAAAGGAGGAAAACATGATGTGTTTGTAAGAATAATTGTGACGAAGAGCAAATCCCTGCTTTTCCTATCTTGTGTCTAGTGTTTCGTAGGATAGGCTCCAGGTTAACAGTGATTCTGTTGTAGATAATCAGCCAGAAGATGGATGGATGCATCATATGGATAATATCTATGTTCTATAATTTAATCATAAAACATTATGGTGTCGTTTGATTTTTGTTTTTGTTTTAAACTTACTCTCACTGCAAGACAAGATATGCTGTTATGTGTTTTATGTTCTTGGTGTGGACAGTCCGTAAAATAGCTTGGAGCTTGTTGTTTTACTCTGGTTTACACTTAAAGCAAAATGAAGTCGTTTCACAGTGTTCCAGTT